CCCATGAACCAAGAGCTGATTGATGCCCAGTTTAACATAAGCACCATTTTATGAGAGTTACCATAGTGATCAGGTTCCAGTTATCAGCTTGAACAATTTAATATATGATTAATGTTAATTGCCCATTTTGCATGGATGACTTCTTCCTGGTTGCTGAATTGGTTGCTGCTGCCTTTGATCTAGTTGGAAATTCAATCCAGTGCAATAGTTAGGCAAGTGATCTGTTTGCCAGCACAGAAAAGATAGATTCAGGTTGCTGTGAGGTCAGAGTTTGTTTCTCTTCATAAACACTGGAAGGTCAGGTAGAGTTTAGCTACCATTGGCATCCTTGAAATGTTGTAATAAATGTCAGACCTAAGAGATTATTATTAATCCACACAGCAATTGGAAGTCTTACTGTTCTGGCAAAATAAAGAGATTCTTATTTAATATAACATGCACATCCAAACTCAGAGCAGCACTCTCATAGTCAGGTAAACAACACCTTCAAAGCTAATGTCATTTTTGGTTTTCTGGCTTCTAATATATGCTAAACAGTGACACATTCAGGGACCATCTCAAGGGATTTTAAATATCAGTGATAACTCTGAAAAGTAAATCCCAGGTCATTGGTAATGGCTTTCACTTCAGGAATTCAATTGCAGTGGTTTTTACAAGGTGCTGCTAATACCACCCTTAACTACCACTGTGTTCTCAGCAATATTCACAGACTGTCCTGGGATGTTATAAATGTTTCTTTAAGAAGTAGGAAGACAAGCTTTCATTGAAGGGATGACATAACCTGTGATTCCTTATTAAATCAAGGACTGCTCATATGATTTATATTAAATATCTTTAAGGCTTATGACATCATTAATTAATTAACTGGATTTTTTCTTTGGAACAACAAAAATCACTCATCTTACTCAGTTGCTTACTCCTTGATTCACAAATAGCTGCTGACATGAAATAAAAATAAATTCAACAGTCAAATTGAATAATCTTAATGAACGATGTATGAGCTACTTTGTCTATTGCTTGACTTGGAATAGATATGTCACAGAATGTATCTTATCTTATTGACACTAGAAGACCTGCTGAAATTCTCTCTTAGGGAATTGCCAACTTTACAAATGTGTAAACTTCAAGGTAATTCTCTGATGGTAATCCACTTCAACTGCAGAAATATGAAGTACTGTTAATATATATTTTAATTTGGTTTATTCTTCAATCTCAGGAATCTGGGTGAGTATTTCATTTCTTCTAAAGAACTTTACAAAATGAAGGGGAAATCATTTGAAGATAAATTATGTTAAAAGATGACCTGGGCCCAGAGAAATTATGATTATTTGGTGTAATGTCCCTTTAAATAACCTATAAATATTACACTTAATGTGAATTCTATAAAGTTGAATCTCTCCAAGTTTTACCTGAGCTATTTAATAAGTTTGACTATTTTATGGGGTTGTTTGCCTTGTACCATAACAACTTTCCTTTACAGTGCACATGAGTGATATGTTGGCAGAGCCCTTTGGATGGGAACTTTGTAAAAAGGCCTGTTTTATTTTACAGACTTCAAATAACCTTGTAATTAAACTGAAAACAAATAATTGCCAAGAAACAATTATCATTCAAGTAAAGAGTAATTACATGGTTATTCGTGCCCTGTAAAATAAAGCATCACTAAGATCAGTAATGCAATCAACATTTTAGTAGAAGCAGGATGCTAAAATGATGGACCTTTCAACCTATGCTGATTAAATTGTCATCCAAATAACAGTTACCTAGTTAAACCACCACATGTTTATTTGCCTTGATTAATTTGTGAATATCTGCCTGATGCTAATACAGCTCTTAAAGATAAGAAGTATGACAATATCATATATCAAGAAAGATCCTTCCCAACTTTTTACAGAGTCCTCCACAATCTTTCATCATGTTGTCAGGCTTGTGTTCTTTAAAATGAAATGCAAGAATGCCTAGGAATGTCTTACTATGGAGAATCTGTAGGTGTAATAGTCAGAATAAAGCTATCTTATATTTGTATGTAGGTATATTGACTATAAAGCACTTTCACAAACTTCATTCCAATTAATTTACTCTCTGAGCCCAAGTCTTTGTTCCAAAATTAAAAATAAAGAAATCTGAATGTGATATTTGATGACTGATAAATGTAAACAACTTTGGAAGCAGGTATCTCAAAACCATACTCACTAAAGGGTCAATCAGAAATTTTAAATAACAGGGCAAACACACATCTCTATAACTAGATCACAAGCTCCTGAAAGGCAAAACCTGTTCTAGGTTCTCACAATATATCAATGAAAAAAAATAAAACCAAAATCTTTGCCCTCGTTGAGGTTACATTTTACCCTCTGTGTCACTGATACCTAGCATTATACCACACACACGCTTAATAGGTACCTAGTGCATGTTTATTTAGTAGACGACTGAATAAGTGATATCGTTACTGCATATGTGTGACTGCAGGGGCCTTTATTCCTTAAGCAGATCTTGAAGCTTGTAGGGCTTCTAAGTGAATACGACAATGGGATCTATCCATAGCCTTCTTTACCGTTGTACACAGATTTGAGGTGATCATGTTTTGAAGCTGCTATAGTTGTTGTGAAGCTCAATATTTTTTTAAAAAAATTATATTATGAATAAATGAAATTGGCACTCTGTTCTTGTGGTCAAAGAGACCAGAGTAATTGAAGGAATATTTGGAAACTGTACAAACAGTGAAAGATTGTTTCCTATGTATATTAATTAATTGGTTTAATTAACTTTTTGCTGGACCTTACTTTCTACTAGAAACCATGAGAATCGTTTAGGATACAGTAACAAACAAAATCAGACATGTATGCTGTCTTCATGGAGCTTAGATTCTAGTTGGGGAGACTCACAATTAATCAGACCAACAGCATAAAATTATGAACTGAGATGAAAGTTAGGATGGAGAATATGGTCCTCCTGGAGTTTATAACATATGGAATAGATAGTACCAAGCCATTTGTGAAATAAACTGTGAAACCATTTGTTTTTCAAATCTTCACATTTAAGGTAGAATTACTAGACTAAGAGACCTCTAATGCTTCCCAAGCCTGGGTCAGATTATTGGAAAAGAGTTGCTTCAGATAGAGAGAACTGACCCAGAAATTTGGAACAGAACTAGTTAAACCTTACTGCTTTCAAAGTGTACTGTTAACTGCTGGCAGTCATATGACTCATGACATGGAAGTAGAGGGAGCATCAGGCTGCTTAGTTCTGGAGACAGCCTGTCTGAAACTGTTCATGAGAATTAGATAGCACTGAGATGTTTACAGCGGAAAAATACAAAGAATAATCAGGTGTGTTTAAATAAAGTTAGTAGGCTTGAGTTCTGACAAATAGAAGGAAACAAAAAAAGCATTTAGAAAGTGTAGATTTGATGAAGTTTATTCAATAACATAATATGCCTTTCTCTGATGCCTGGATATACTCCGATGAACATTTTTCAGTGATATTGGGATCCTTTAGGACATTTGAAGTACATAGGATATTTCTGCTTTCGGCATTCCTTAAAAGAGTTAGAAAGCCATAAAACAGGGCAAAGGCAAACACGTTAAAAAACTGAATTAAAGAAAATAAATTATGGCCCAGAATCAAGTAGAAAGAAGCAGAGGAGGGTCCATTTATAAAATTGAAACATTAAATGAGAAAAACAGAATCTTTTGTGCTAGATTGATATATAATATTGATGTACAATGGAAGAAAATAACACTAGCACAGTGTATGAAAAATGAACTGGGTAATGATACCTCCGTGTAAGGTTGCTAGAAGTTGTTTTTCATTTAAAAGCAGAGTTTGTCTTACATTGATGGAGCATTTTGCTATTGCAAAGTTGATAGAGTGAGGTTTAACTTAAATTTCTTTGTAAACCAAAAGTCATTTTGGGGTATGTTCTCTATCTGAACCTCATACATTTTTGCTGCTGAAGTTATTTAATATAGTATTTTGTAGTATTTTGTCAAAACTCGTATCATTCAGCTTTGTAAACTGCATTTCTACTAAAAGGCAACAGCAATATCTTAGGCAACATTAGAAAGTAATATTTGAAATATATTGGGTGACTCGAGAATAACTTGATCCTAATGTTCTATGACTTACAAGTCTCTTCATGTAGTGACAGCTTTAAAATGATATTTTCAGTACCCTAACTCTATTATGGTACAAGATGGAGGCAACAGATACTGACTGTTTATTTCATTATGTTATGAATTAGCATTTGCAATTACAGTTTCTGAACTGCTCATGGGTGAAGAATGTACAAATGCAATGGGTTAGGTTAATGTTATAAGTTTATCATCAACTCATTAGTTAAAAACACCAATCAATCCAAGAGAAAAGACAGCCTAGATTGCAAAGGTGGCAGGTTTTGTTAGTGTAGCCACTCTAAGAGAGAGAGAACTGCTTGTTATACAGCTTGGTTTAAAAACTACGTGGGAAAACAAAACCTACTGAGGGTGGTAACCCTGTTTTCCTCATGGGCTCCCAGCAGCTGTGGAAATGCTAATAAATATCAGCTTCTATTCTACATCTCTCAGCTCTTTACCATTCACCTCTGACATGCTGGGCAGAGACTTAATCACTTCACATTCTATGTAATCTTAAATCTGTGAGTCACTATCTCAGATCTGAGAAGCATTTATTAATACTTCAGATCAAGTGTAGCTTTAAAAGCAGGGGTAACTCAGGGTTTCTCACATAACAGGTAAGCTGTGTTGCAAAGTGCTGGCCTGTAAATGGAATCTAAACTAAAATTGATGCCTTATGGCACTGATGTTTGCCGTAACAATAGTGGGGAATTTAGTGGAAAGTAAAGAATAGGTCTCTTAGTAATCCACGAAAATAGTCTTTAATGTAAAATTCTATCACTTTTGGCAATTAAACAAGATTTAAAAGGTAAATGCTGCAAGTGATGGTATTCTCAAAAAGAGTACATTTTTTAACCTTATCTATATTTGTCTGTTTTTCAACAGTTCAAGACCTGGCAGGCCCCCTAAGCGTTCTTTGGGAGTGTTGCAGGAAAATGCCCGCCTTCTACCCCATGCAGTCCCAGGCCTCTTATCGCCAGGACTTATCACTCCGACAGGTAATAAAATCCATCTGATGATCAGCCATGTCTCTTCGTACTGCCCAGCATTTGAAATAAACCAATATTGATCTAACTGCCTTGTCCTTCAGAGCTTTTCAAGCTCTATTAGAGGTTACATTATTGAATTTTTAAAGTGTTCATGAAAACAAGTTTTGTTACTTGAGCGACAAATCAAATGGATGTGATTTTAAAAATTGTCATATCCTTGCAGAAAATCCCTTTCAAGGCCTTATTGTTTGTATGTGTGTATATGTTTCTGTGCTAGGGACAGGAATGGAGGCACTGGCCAAAACAGCATCATCTTGAAACCTCCCATAGGGGGCAGCACTCCTGCATACTTAGGTCTCAGTAATATTCTTTTAGTTTCCAGGGGTTCTGGGCATCCATGCATGTTGTCCAAGTTATTACTCTAGGTTAAAAAGTAGACCTAAAATGCATCCTTGGTATAGGAGCCTTATGATTAGAGAAGAAGGTGCAGGTGACCATTGTCCTGAACGATGTCTTAGTGTCTTTCATTGAACACTGTGAAAAACTGGTAAAATTCCAGTGTCATAAATTAGCATCGAACTTTGTTGAGTCTCTAAAAAAGTACATAAGAGTACACAAAAACATTTTAAAATAAGCTTAACATTTCTATAATTGAATCTTTAAAAATCATGAAAGCTATTATAACATAGAAAATGAATTTAACAACAATGATATCTTTATATACAAAGATATGAACATTTATAAAGCGTCTGTTGTGTTCTGGGTACTCATTTCTAGGCATTGTAAAAATATATGAGTAGTGGTCCTTGCCACACTAGAATTGGGGAGAAAGGAATGTAAATTAATAATTGCATTAAAGTGTGATAGAGGCCAAAATACAAGCACATACAAGATTCTATAATATCGCATAAGTGGAAGCAGTTAAATCAATTTGGCAAGTTGGGTAATACTCAGTAAGATGGAAACATTGGAGCTGTATTTTGTAGGCTGAGCATTGGACGGATGGAGAATCAGTGGAAGAACATTCCAAGCAGATAGAAAAGTACAGATGGATGAGAAAAAGCCTACCCTGTTATAGGGAGTAGTAGCTAAGTTGAAGAGACTGGAGCAGAGCTTTAAGGTAGAAGGCTTATAGGTGATGTGGATGGAATAGAAAGGGAGGGAAAGGCCAGCTTTGTGAAACCAGTTTTTGATTTACCATGTTAAGCAATTTAAGTTTTTCCCTTTAAACCAGTGGTTTCCAGAGTGTCTTTCAGGACTTTCCTTACTGGCTGACATAGAAGTCAGGAAGTACTTCCATGCTCCACAATTCTCCCTCAGTTAGAATTTTATATGTTCTCCTTCACATATGATTTTGTTTTATTTTATTCTTAAAGAAACTTCTACAGGTAAAAGGAGCCCTTGCTAAGGAACTGAGTAAATGATCTGAAAACAGTTGCCTGGAGGGTAGATAGCAGTGAAGGTAATGAAATGAAAGAATATCAGTTGCTACTGTTCAAAGGAGAAATACTGAGGGCTTGAAGGCAAATTCAATAGAATGGAGAAAAGGTTCTGAGTGCTTCAGTAATTAGAATTAATCACACTTGATAGTTGATTAAATGTAGAGGCTAAGGTGGTGGTCTAGGATGATTCGTGTCTAGCTTGGATGACAGGCTGGATGATGGTATAATTAACTCAGATCGAGAACTTGGGAAGACACTCAGGCTTTGAGGGGGAAGATAATGAATTTTCTACTTTAAATATTTATAAACAAATTCTGATATAAGAGAGTAGCCCTGTGCATATAAATGAAGATAGAAGGGATAACAGCATCTGAAATATATCTTGGTATTCAATGAATGACCATCTATTTCTTGCCTCCTGAAATACATTCCTAGAGCCTAGAAAGAGTACCATGTAAATAATCAAATCTGTGTCCTGGTTTTGTGGGAATGTACAGATGAAAGAAGAAAAGGATTTTAAAATTGCCTTGAAGCTAAATCATTTTGAGTAAACATTAGTAGGGTATTTGTTGAGGAAAAGCTCTAATAATATATTAAGTTCTTTTTATGTACTAGCCATGGGTGCCAAGTGTTTTATATACACTTCATTTAATCTTCATAGTAGCCTTATGGACAATGACTTCATTTTTAAAGTAAACAATCTATGGCTCAGCGAGTTTAAATTATTTGCTTAAGGTCACAAGGAGGTGAGTGGCAGAACTGAGTTTCTGTTTTTAAATTTTATTTAGTTTAATTAATTTATTTTTGCTTGTACATGTTGTTTCATCACCCAGGTATTAAGCTCATTACCCAATAGTAATGTTTTCTGCTCCTCTCCCTCCTCCTGCCCCTTCTCAAGTAGACCCCAGAATCTGTTGTTCCTTTCTTTGTGTTCATAAATTCTTATCATTTAGCTCCCACTTATAAGTGAGAACATGTGGTATTTGGCTTTCTATTCCTGTATTAGTTTGCTAAGGATAATAGTCTTCAGCTCCATCCATGTTCCTACAAAAGACATGATCTCTTTTTTATGGCTGCATAGTATTCCAAGGTGTATATATACCACATTTTCTTTTTTCAATCTGTTGTTGATGGGCATTTAGGTTGATTCTGTGTCTTTGCTATCGTGAATAGTGCTGAAATGAGCATTCACGTGCATGTTTCTTTATCATATAATGATATGTTTTCCTCAGGGTATATATACCCAGTGATAGAATTGCTGGGTGGTAGTTCTGCTTTTAACTCTTTGGGGAATTGCCATACTGCTTTTGACAATGGTTGAACTAATTTACACTCCCACTGACAATGTATAAGTATTCCCTTTTCTCTGCAAATTCATCAGCATGTTTTTTGACTTTTCAGTAATAGCCATTCTGATTGGTGAAAGATGGTATTTCATTGTGGTTTTGATTTACCACAAATCAAATGATCACAAAATCTAATGATACCACAAAATGTAATGATCAGTGTAATGTTTTTTTGGATTTTTCAGTAATAGCCATTCTGATTGGTGTAAAAGATGGTATTTCATTGTATTTTGATTTACCACAAATCAAAATGATCACAACCCAATGATACCACAAATGTAATGATCATGATATTTAGCTTTTTCTTCATATGCTTGTTGCCTGCATGTATGTCTTTGTAAAGGTCTGCTCGTGTGCTTTGCCCCTTTTTTTTTTTTTTTTTTTTTAAGATGGAGTCTTGCTCTGTTGCCCAGGCTGGAGTGCAGTGGTGCGATCTCGGCTTACTGCAACCTCCACCTCCTGGGCTCACGCCATTCTCCTGCCTCAGCCTCCTGAGTAGCTGGTACTACAAGCGCCTACCACCATGCCTAGCTAATTTTTTGTATTTTTAGTGTAGACGGGGTTTCAGTGTGTTAGCCAAGATTGTCTCAATCTCCTGACCTCGTAATCTGCCCGACTCAGCCTCCTGAAATGCTGGGATTATGGTTGTGAGCCACCGTGCCTGGCACTTTGCCCACTTTTTAATGGGGTTGTTTGTTTTTCTCTGGTAAATTTGTTCAAGTTTCTTATAGATGCTGGATACTAGACCTTTGTCAGGTGCATAGTTTGCAATTTTTTTTTTTTCTTTTTCCATTGTGTAGGTTGTCTGTTCACTCTGTTGATAGTTTTCTTTTGCTGTCTTTAGTTCTATTTATGTGATTGATCACATCTGTTGATTTGAATATGTTGAACCAACCTCACATCCCAAGGATGAAGCCTACTTGATCTTGGTAGTTTATCTTTTTGATGTGCTTCTGAATTCAACTTGCAAGTGTTTTGTTCTGGATTTTTTCATCAATGTTCATGAAGGGTATTGGCCCAAAGTTTTCTTTTTTGTTGTGACTCTTCCAGGCTTTAGTATCAAAGTGATCATGGCCTCACAGAATGAGTTAGGGAGGAGTCCCTCCTCTTTAATTTTTTGGAATAGCTTCAGTAGGAATAATACCAGCTCTTCTTTATACATGTGGTAAAATTTAGCTATGAATCCAACAGGTCTTAGTTTTGTTTTAGTTGGGATGCTATTTATTATGGATTCAATTTTGGAGTGTGTTATTGGTCTGTTCAGAGAGTCATTTTCTTCCTGACTCAGTCTTTGTAGGGTGTGTATATCCAGGAATTTATCCATCTCTTGTAGGTTTTTAAATTTTGTGTGTAGAGGTGTTCATAGTAGTTTCTGATGGTTGTTTGGATTTCTATGCTGTCCGTAATAACATTCCCTTCATCATCTCTAATTGTGTTTATTTGGATCTTCTCTGTTTTTTCCTTATTAGTCTAGCTAGTGGCCTATATATTTTATTAAATTTTTCCAAAAAAACCTCCTGGATTTGTTTATCTTTCGAATTTTGTTGCTGCTGCTGTTGTTGTTGTTGTTTCTCAATTACCTTGAGTTCAGCTCTGATTTTTGTTATTTCCTCTCTTCTGCTAGCCTTGGGCTTGATTTGTTCCTGCTTCTCTAATTATATTGGTTGTGAAGTTAGGTCGTTAATTTGAGATCTTTCTAAGATTTTTATGTTTACATTTAATGGTATGAATTTTCCTCTTAATACTGCCTTAGCTTTGTCTCAGAGATTTTGGTATGTTGAGTCTTTGTTCTCATTATTTTCAAAGTACTTTTTGATTTCTGCCTTAATTTCATTATTTACCCAAAAGTCATTCAGGTGCATGTTGATTAATTCCCATGTAATTGTATGATTTTGAACCATTTTCATAGTCTTCACTTCTGTTTTTATTGTGCTGTGGTCCAAGAGTGTGTTTTGTATGATTTTGTTTCTTTAAAAATTTGGTGAGGATTGTTTTATGTCCAATTATGTGGTTGATTTTAAAGTATGTGCCATGTGGTAGTGAGAAAAATGTATATTCTTTTGTTTTTTGGGTGGAGAGTTATGTAAAGTTCTATCAGACCCAGTTGGTCCAATGTTGAATTAAGGTCTTGAATATATTTGTTCATTTTCCGCCTCAATGATTTGCCTATTACTTTCATTGGAGGGTTGAAGTCTCTCACTATTAGTATGTGGGAGTCTAT